GGGGGGGGGGGGGGGGATTACTTGAAAAACTCCGGTGGCGGCAACTGTAGACACTGTAAAAGTGACAGCTCCATATAGCAGTGTATTGTTGCACCTCCATACCATTCACAAAGCTATTAGGTGCTCTATTGAGGCAGTGGGATATCAGCAGGATCCTCTCTGTCTGGCAAAGGCTCCAAGTTGAACCCACCGCCTGAATCACCTGGCCTGTTTTCCATCCGTGTTTGGGCGTTTAGATCGTTCTTTGATGGCTTGATAAATGTGACAACAGAGTCCTTGCGGAACACGAGGTAGAAGACAGTAAGGATGTAGATCGTCATCCATGGAAATACTAGTATTCCGATGAATACGTTTCCGACTTTTGGTAAACTGTAGTGAATTAGCCTGTCGACGAAGCCTGTGCTCAGGTAGTAGATGTTGATGCCGATTAGTCCCAGTCCCAGTGTCCAGGAGAACACGATAATCTGCATCCATGGATTATAAATGACCAGTCATGCTAAAGAGGGTTTGATTATTCTTAGTTTTGATCAAGATTCCTAGCTAACGCCTCTTTTCTATTGATCCAAAATCCTTTTCCAGTTGAGTTCTTTTGACGGCGTAGTGCACTTGACACTTGATTGTACCCCAAATCCGTTTTTGAAGTGATTTTTTGAACAGTTCGATAAGCATACTTAACGTACTAGCTTAGAAGGCCTTTAGGTCCGTTACACAGAAAAATGGATCAGTAAGAGCCACAAAACTTTACAAACTTTGTATGCTTTTTGCAAGGATTGACAATTCTTATCACTAACATCTCAAACTTACACGAATACAAAATAAAAAAGAAGAATAACTCACATAGATTGAGTTCTTGTGTGGCCCCATCTTGGTGGCACTGCTACTGAATTTAAGGAGAGGGATGAGAGCAAATGGGAGTTCAAATGAGAGTATCATCTGCAAAACCCATCAAAAAAAAAAAATTAACATGAATTATATAGACATAATTACCTTTAATAACCCTTGATCATAGCTTATAAGAAGCTGACCAATGCGATGATGATGAGTCGGCCAGCTCCGGCGGATCCACCGATGATTGATACGAGCAGGCTAGGTGTGATGGCAATGCACCTAGTAACTAGGTTCCTTATCCATTTCCTCATCTTAAGCTCCAAGAAACCCTAACAATTGCAACTTCAAGTTATGTACCAAAATCATTAAACCGACAAAATCTTAATGACATTTTACTCGATTTTGTTTAATAGTAGATCACCCGATGTATATCGATAAGAGACCCACTTACGTGTACTGAATTTTACTTGAATTTATGTTCGTTAATACACTGTTAAAAAAATTTATACCTGCATAATATATTGTTCAGTATAAGTGCCAGTAATAGTCGAGCTTTGCTCCGAGGCTAGTAATGCAATGGCATAAACCGTGGAGCTTGACTTTCCCAACACATTCTGCAAAAAAATACAATCATAACAATTTTAGGAACAATTTCTTTATAATGAACTGGATTTTTAAATATTAGGGTTCATTTTAGTACTGGATTCCTTAATTTCCTCAATACTAATTGCCGTATATTGATTCATGACAGGTGCTTTGAGGGCAAGGGCGGCCCAACGTAAACAAGGGCCCTGGGCGAAAACTTTACATGGGGCTTACTAATATTTTGTATATTATTATATATTTTTAATTATTATAATTTAATTAATTAATTAATTAAACCTCATCCTACTAACAAATTCCTTAATTTTGTATTAATATTCTTCCAATTTCTCAGAATATATATATATATATATATNATGATTATTCTTAGTTTTGATCAAGATTCCTAGCTAACGCCTCTTTTCTATTGATCCAAAATACTTTTCCAGTTGAGTTCTTTTGACGGCGTAGCGCACTTGACACTTGATTGTACCCCAAATCCGTTTTTGAAGTGATTTTTTGAACAGTTCGATAAGCATACTTAACGTACTACCTTAGAAGGCCTTTAGGTCCGTTACACAGAAAAATGGATCAGTAAGAGCCACAAAACTTTACAAACTTTGTATGCTTTTTGCAAGGATTGACAATTCTTATCACTAACATCTCAAACTTACACGAATACAAAATAAAAAAGAAGAATAACTCACATAGATTGAGTTCTTGTGTGGCCCCATCTTGGTGGCACTGCTACTGAATTTAAGGAGAGGGATGAGAGCAAATGGGAGTTCAAATGAGAGTATCATCTGCAAAACCCATCCAAAAAAAAAAATTAACATGAATTATATAGACATAATTACCTTTAATAACCCTTGATCATAGCTTATAAGAAGCTGACCAATGCGATGATGATGAGTCGGCCAGCTCCGGCGGATCCACCGATGATTGATACGAGCAGGCTAGGTGTGATGGCAATGCACCTAGTAACTAGGTTCCTTATCCATTTCCTCATCTTAAGCTCCAAGAAACCCTAACAATTGCAACTTCAAGTTATGTACCAAAATCATTAAACCGACAAAATCTTAATGACATTTTACTCGATTTTGTTTAATAGTAGATCACCCGATGTATATCGATAAGAGACCCACTTACGTGTACTGAATTTTACTTGAATTTATGTTCGTTAATACACTGTTAAAAAAATTTATACCTGCATAATATATTGTTCAGTATAAGTGCCAGTAATAGTCGAGCTTTGCTCCGAGGCTAGTAATGCAATGGCATAAACCGTGGAGCTTGACTTTCCCAACACATTCTGCAAAAAAATACAATCATAACAATTTTAGGAACAATTTCTTTATAATGAACTGGATTTTTAAATATTAGGGTTCATTTTAGTACTGGATTCCTTAATTTCCTCAATACTAATTGCCGTATATTGATTCATGACAGGTGCTTTGAGGGCAAGGGCGGCCCAACGTAAACAAGGGCCCTGGGCGAAAACTTTACATGGGGCTTACTAATATTTTGTATATTATTATATATTTTTAATTATTATAATTTAATTAATTAATTAATTAAACCTCATCCTACTAACAAATTCCTTAATTTTGTATTAATATTCTTCCAATTTCTCAGAATATATATATATATATATATATATATATATATGAACAAAATCGGACTTTTTATCGATACAATCACTTTCCTTTTTCGGTTCATTTTCTTTTCAATCTCTTTTATGTTCTATTTCTATTGCATGATTTAGTTGTTCATGAATTAAATCATAATTTTCACTTCTACTTATATTTTGTTTATTAAAAAAAAAAAATGAACCCAATACGCTGGCCATATTTGGGGGTCCGGATCCCCTGCAGGCTCTAGTTCAATTTTCATCTACAATAAATTATCAATCGTTTATTAATAGTGAGTCACACTTGAATAGACAATCTCACTCGAGAATTTTACTCCATGATGTAGCATTCTAGAAATAATCTAAGTACTTGAGTGGATTTGAATGTGACTTTTGAAACTTAAAAAGAAGTATAAAGTTTTCAAACCTTGAGAAGGAAAGAAGCAGAGTTAAGAGTGAGATGGTTGCATCGATTTGTGTTGTCATTTGAGAGATTTTTGGCTGAGCAAACAGTGCCGGATACTGAGACAACTGAAACGTTGATTAAAAAAGCTACAAACAGTGCAAATCCACTCTCTATCAAGAAGAATCTACATGCATCCTGCAACATTGTGAGACCAACAAATAAATTTTACAGACATTTTTGTAAATAAACTTAAAAAATTATTTAAACTCAACCCTTTTAAAAAATGAGTCGATCTCGAACTGAACCCAAAACAAGTAGAATTTGAGCTTAAACTCGTTTTTTTAAACAAACCTAAAAATTTATTCAAGTTTAACTCATTTAGAAAACAAATTAAGCTCTATACGAATCGAATTTGAGTTGAACTCAAATAACTTGACTCAATTATCAGTCCTAACTAAGGGTAGCTATGCGTCTAGCCGGTGAACCCATAAAAAATGATTTTGAGGCTAGGGAAGCTGAACTGCTCAACGACGATCAAACCCAGTTTGTGGATCATTATTTTGTTATATTTATATAATAAAGTAGCTTACAATTCAAATTTTAAAAAATAAATAAAATGACTTTTATTTTTTGCGGTTCAGATTGCTTTAAATTTTACTTTAAGGTTAATCTAACGACTAATAATAACACTCTAAATTTAATAGAAAAAATATGGCCCTAAAAGTGTGTTTGAAATTACTTTTTAAAAGTCTCATAAGTATTTTAAAAAAAATAGTGTTTAAAATTGTCTTACCACCACCACCGTCGCTATCGCCACCGCCACCACCACTATTATCGTCGTCGTCGCCGCTGCCACCTCACCACCGCTTTCACCACCACAGCCATCACAACTGCCGTTGCAATCACCACCGTCGCTATCACCAACGCCGTCGTCGTCGCTGCCGCCACCACCACCACCACATTTGTCGTTGCAGCCACCACGATCATTGCCACCTACCACAATTATCACCGTCTCCTACCACTACTATTGCCACCCACCACCTCTCACTTCCACTACAACCGATGCTTAAATTCATTTATCTCTCTTTTATGTTTGTGATTTGATATTGGATATTAATACAAATATGTTTATTATTTACTAATTTTTATTACTTTATGCCTTCGAACACATATAATAATTAGTCTTTATATATAATAAGTACTTTTTGAGCAGACCCATGGACCATATTAGCCGGCCTAGATCCTAAATTTCTCGGGCTAGGTTGGTCTGGTCTAATGGGCCGTCTGCACCATGGCCACTCCTACATGGGTGGCCGGTTATATTCGAAATGCATTATATTAATCGAAAAAGCTAATTGTTATGCCATTTGGTGGTATAAATGTAGATGTCTATGCCGTTTTGTCAATGGGCTGTTAAGAATGCAAGCAAAAACAAATAGATAGGTACATATGAAACAATTTCATTTAGGGATGCAACGAAAACAAATAAATAAGCACATATGGAATTGTTTTAAAATAGAATTCTTCTCGACATGGGTTTACGTATGCATGGACGCGCGCGTGCACACACAGTTATTTAACAAACAAGCTGAGCACGAGAACGGTTTGTTTGGCTTGCAACACACAAGCACATGCACACACATAGATATCATGTAATATCTAATATGAGGTAATGTCAAATATATATTTCATATAAGAATTTGAATGAGTTCAAGTTTTAAACACAATATATAAAGTTCTATCCATTTAATAGAAGATACGTTGAGTTTGGAAAAATTTTAATAAACCAAGTTTAAAGCAAGATGTTTTTAAACTCGTCACAATTACAAGCTAAGTACAAAGACAATACTCTTATTTTTGGCTTACATTGATGCCACGAACGGAATTTGGTATTTTCCTAGAGAGCACAAGAGCAGAGTGGAGGAAGAGGTTATGCCTGCCCAAGTAGAAAAAAAAATGATTAATCTTAGTTCAAACCCTAAACAAATACACTAAGTGACACAGTAATGTCCTACACGTACACATATACGTTTCTCTAAATATATGTACATATTAATCTCTCTCTCTCTCTCTCTCTCTCTCTCTATATATATATATATATATATATATATATATTATTGTTAGGAAGTTGAATTCTCAACTCATAAACGCACAACAACAGCCAAAAATAAATTTAATTTTCACCTATTTGGATCAATGGCACAAAATTTGTCCCCAATTTTTTTTTTACTTTCAAAAACATTATTTTCATTGCACGACCCCCAATATTAGATAATTCCGTCAATTCAAATACATACCTCTCTTTTCTCTTCCCTATCTTTTTTTTTTTTTTTTTTTTATTTAATTTTAAATTGTGTGATTAAACAAAAAAAAAAATTTAATATTGTACGGTCAATATTCAATATTTTGTATTATTAAGTGTCCTCAGACACAGGATTATTGCTAGTGTGTGTGTGTATATATATATATATATAAGAGGAGATGGTATCGTACGGCATGACGAGGGCACCTAGTAGGGCAATGGCATCAGCAGTGGCTCCAGGACCAGTGAGTTTGGGGATAAACATTCCCTTAAGAACATCTTGTGCAGGAGGCTTCACATAGGCCATTTCTCCGAAAAAACATGCAGCCATGACGAACACCAACACTGATATCAACATCTCCAGCTTCCTCACCTAACCCCCATAAAATTAAACTTAATGAACAGAAAAAAAAAAAAAAAAAAAAAGGGGGAATGAATAGAAAGTATATTATCAAACTTCCAACATAAATGTACCACCAAATTTTCGAGCCGATGGTCTCTAGTTTTCTATCAATTTTCTTAAGAATTAATGTCAACAATTGTAAGAACATGAGTTTGTGCTATACTACTTACATTGAAATGAGTTTGTACTATGTTTAAGTAGTTTGTACATTACCATGAAAGATGTCGAGATTTATTTTTTTTATCTCGTCCCTCACATTATCACAATTTCTTAAGTTTTTTCAAGTGACTTCATAAAAGGGAATAAAAAGAGATGAACTCAAGAATGTACGTGCTCTAATGGGGGCAATCTTTCAAATTGTATGTGTGTGTGTGTGTGTGTGTGTGNAATGGGGGCAATCTTTCAAATTGTATGTGTGTGTGTGTGTGTGTGTGTGAGAGAGAGAGAGAGAGAGAGAGAGAGAGAGAGAGAGAGAGAGAGAGAGAGAGAGAGCACTTAGGAGACAATTATTTGAGAAAAAAACTGGAGAGTCATGAAAATGATGGTATTCCAATTTATACGTTAACAGTAACCAACATGCGAGAAAAACGACGACGGCGTGAAGAATATGTAGACAGACAGACATATATGAATAAAAAATAATGAAAAATTTAAGGAAAAAACACTGTTAAATTCTATCATATTTACCTTAGAACAATTAACTCTTACTTTTGATAATTTATTGTGAATATTAAGACCGAGTACTCCTTAAGGAACTTTTAATGAATTTAGTCTGCCAATGAAATTTCTTTAAGGGTAAGTCCGTTTTTAATCTTCCTATTAAGTAGTTAATTCTATTAGTTTTTTAAAACTCCACAATGCCCTTCTAATGAATTGAAAAACAATCTTTAATATTANTTTATTGTGAATATTAAGACCGAGTACTCCTTAAGGAACTTTTAATGAATTTAGTATGCCAATGAAATTTCTTTAAGGGTAAGTCCGTTTTTAATCTTCCTATTAAGTAGTTAATTCTATTATTNCTGCCAATGAAATTTCTTTAAGGGTAAGTCCGTTTTTAATCTTCCTATTAAGTAGTTAATTCTATTAGTTTTTTAAAACTCCACAATGCCCTTCTAATGAATTGAAAAACAATCTTTAATATTAAATCAGTGTCCTAAACAATCATAATTGATTCACACTTAATGAAAGTTTTTTTTTTCATAAAATCTGAAATTCAAATTTAAATTTCACATCATTACCATTTTTCTCTCTCATTTTTTTGTTGAGAAGACTATGGTTAATTTAATATTGAATGTTACTATGCATATTACTAATTTTTTTCCAAGTTACTATTTTTTTGTTGTGTATGTTAATATTTTTTGTTGAACATATTATTATTTTTTTGATGAGTATGTTATTATTAATATTGGATATTACTATTTTTCTGAAATATGAATATTCAATGTTACTTTTTTTTGTTGACCATGTATTATTTCTTGGATATTACTNTACTATGCATATTACTAATTTTTTTCCAAGTTACTATTTTTTTGTTGTGTATGTTACTATTTTTTGTTGAACATATTATTATTTTTTTGATGAGTATGTTATTATTAATATTGGATATTACTATTTTTCTGAAATATCAATATTCAATGTTACTTTTTTTTGTTGACCATGTATTATTTCTTGGATATTACTTTTTTTTTTGTTCAATATTGGATATTACTATTAATATTTTTTGTTACTACTGTTATTTTTTTCAAATATTAATATTTAATATTACTATATTTTATTTTTGAATGTTATTATTTTTTGTATTTAAGTGGTACTATTTTTTAATTTTCAAATATTACTATTTTTTTTTATTTTTAGTGTTACTATATATATATACTAATTATTTCCTGTACCTGAAGACACGGAATAATTAAAAATTTGTCAGCAATAAACATATTTCTATTCACACCCAAAATCAAATCACAAACATATAAGAGAGATAAAGAAATTTAAATACCGATTGTGATGGGGGTGAGCGGGGTTATTGGTGATAGGCGACAATAGTGATGGTGAGAGACGGTGATGGTTATGGGGGGTGGCGACAACCGTTGTGGTTGTGGCAGTGGTAGGTGACAAGGGTGATGGTGGTGGTGAGTTTTGTGTGACAGTGACAGTGGCAGTGGTGAACTACGTTGACGGTGGTTGGCAGTGGTGACAGTGGGAGGTGACAATGGTGGTGGTGATGGGTAACGATGGATGCTTCTAGTCGACAATGTGATGCGTGGTGGCGAATGACGACGGTGGTAAGTGTGGTGAGGATAGGTGATAATGGGTGACTACAGTGGTAGGCGATAACGGGTGATGATGGGGGTGGGTGAGAGTGGCTGGTGGCGATGATGGGCAATGATGGGTGGTAGTGGATTGTGGTAATGGGTGACGGTGGACAACAATAATAGTGGTGGGTGCTGACAAGATAATAAAAATGGTGGGTGATGCAATCAGTGGTGGGTTGGCAATGGTGGTGTTATTTGTAATGGTCGTAGTAGTGGTAGGAATGATGGTAGGACAGTGACGACAGTGGTGAGGTGCGATAATAGTGGTGGTAATGGTGGTGGTGGGCGACGGTGGTAATGGTGATGGTGGTTGGGGGCAGTGGAGGAGATGGTGGTGGAGCAGAGGTGGTAGTGGTGTTGGTGGGACGGTGGAGGTGGTGGTGAAGTAGTGATGGTAATGGTAATGGTAGTGATAGTGATGGTGGTGAGACAGTGGTGGTAGTGGTGATGGTGGTGAGCAACGGTGGAGGAGGTGGTGGTGGTGGTAGAGGTAGTGCTGGGGCGGTTTTAAATACTATTTTTTTTAAGTATTAAAGAGAAATAATTTCTAAAAATACTTTTAAAAAATCACTCCAAACACACCATTAGAGACCTATTTTTTCAATTAAATTTAGGGTGTTAATATTAACCGTCAAATTAACTTTAAAATAAAATTTTAAGAAATCTCAACCTCGAATAGTAAAAGTCATTTTATTTATTTTTTGAGATTTAAATTGTAAGCTACTTAAAATTTAGGAGTTGTTAGTTTTCAAATTTGTTGTAATTAAATATAACTAATAAGGGTATTTTGAATAATGAAAATCAAAATGGACTTAATATTAAATAAATTTACTTAATGAACTTATTATCAAATAAGTTCACAAAGGGATACTGATTTCCAAATTTTCTTAATTTATAGGGCAACATTTTATTAATAACCAAAGTACTTTATGCCCCCCCGGTATTCTTCATTTTCAAGCTTCCTACGTGAACATGCACTTCACCAAGAAGTGGTGGGACGTCTTTTCCACTCAAAGAATTCCATGAAATTTCTCCATTCTAATATATATGTATAATATATTTCCCACCCGCCTTTCTCGTCTCTTCCTTTCCATCTCCATCATACTTTCTTTTCTTTTTTCTTGGCCTCCACCAACTCCTTGCATGCTTATTTTCATAGTTTTAAAATCCGGCCCGAACACCAACTCAGAGAAGGGATCGAGTCAATGAATTTCTGGTTCAATTATTGGGTCACTGGTCGAACCAGTGATATAATAAAAAAATAATAAATAATTATTGATGATAATAAATAGACTAAAAAATTAAAATAATTATAAAAATAAAATGTTTAATATATATTAAATTAAACAAAGTTATCAAACCTAAATCACTTAATTGCATTCAATAAACAAACCAATGCATTCAATTAACAGCCCAGCCTCCACCCTCAAACTTGAATCACTTAATTGTATTCACTTAATTTTTGAGTTAACAAACACTGAACGAATGATTTAGGATTTAAGACAAAACAGAAGGGGAAAAGAAAAAGACACAAAAATGTAAAAAAAAAACATATTTATATTAAAGGAACAAAACCGGCCGATTTTGTAAACTCGGTCCGGTTTTCATGGGTTACTGGTTTTTTGACCGGTTCACCGATTTTATTCCAGGTTCTTTGCTCAAACAGTCCAATTACAAAACCGGCCCGGTTAGGGGACCAGTTCACCAGATCAACCCGCCGGGCCGGGCCGAGTTTTAAAACACCGCTTATTTTCATTCTTTATTGCTAATCTCAAAAATGGCAGATTACCAAGCAAATCACATGTATTCATATTCCAAGAAGAGTAATGTTAGATTGATCAAATTTTAGGATCAAATTTAGAGTTTAAATGACATGACAATTGACTTGGGTTTCTTTCATTAGTGTCATGTCATTTGGACCTCAATAAAAACTCCTAATAATTAGCTACCATATTATTTTGGCTCTAAATTTGATCTCAAAATTTGATCAATCTAACATTAGTGTTCCGAGAATCATGTCAGAGAATAGATTGCAAGAGTCCAAAATTGGTGGACCCCTATTCCCAAGAATTCCTAGACTCCATTAATAGTTTGTTTTGTTTTAAATTTTTTTTTTTGAAAAAATAAATTTCATTTTTGGTTATAATGTTATTTAATTATATTTATTGAAATATAATTTTTTTATCTTAAATTATCAAAGTAGCTATGCTATTCACATGTAAGAGTTTATATGTGAGTGAATCTTACATAATATAAAAGTTAATACATAAATAAATATTTTTTATTTTATCTCTTAAATACATCTTTATAGCTTTAAATGCTTGGATTTTTTTATGCCTTAAAACAACAATTGTTTTATCATGAATTCCAAACGTGGAAGGAGAAGTTAAAAAAAAAAAAGCATAATTAGATAAAACTTTCACATAGTATATTGTATATCTTTATGGTTGAAATTTGATAGTCAATTGAGTCAAAAAAGTATATGCATAAAAATGTTAAATAAAAAAATAATGTTGTATGATTTATCACTTCTACAAGTCTTTATTGTTAATTATGTGATTTGGATGTTATGCACTAATTAGAAAAAAAAAAATTGTTCTAGGTCCTAATAACAAATATTATTTATAAAAAAATTAATGTGTGTTGATGGGAAGGATAAAATTGGAAGAAAACATACTATCGATGGAGAATATGACTTCTTGAGAATAAATTATTAAAAATATAACTTAATTGACTTAAGGTAAACATATGATTTTCCTAAAATTCAATATATTTTACTAATGAAATATAAAAGAGGAATTTGAGAAATAGTGGATTAGGGAACGTGAGAGTAGGGTTGTATTTATTTTAATCCGACTCAACTTAACATGAAATTGACAAGAAATTAGCAGAATTTTGTCTTTTTAAATTCGAATTATAACCAGATTGACCAACCAAACCAAATTAACAAATTGGTTGATGCAATGACATAAATTAGACTACCCGACTTATGTATGATATTACAACAATCCAATTATAGCTGAAATCGGATAAGAGTTACGTATTTTTTTGGCATGACACAACTTACAGATTGACAACAAAACCTAATATGACATGACCCCTTTGCAAGCCATTACTAGTTATGTTGGACTATCAACATTATATGCAACTATAATAATAAGGCTGGAACAGTAAATGGAGACTCGCCAAACCTTCCCAAAAAAGTGCAAGTTTGCAAGAGAGAGAGAGAGAGAGAGAGAGGTGGTTGAAACATAGCTGATAAAAGAATAGAAAAGAAATATTCATAATGAACTTACCCCATATTTCTGAAGGCCAAGCAGTAAGAGTGTGCTCAAACCAGTGGTGAGAACTCCAGCCCAAACTGGGATATGGAAGAGTATATTCAGTGCAAAGGCTGTCCCAATCACTGCCCCAAAATAAAAAACTTCTGATATATCCATCACTGAAATTGGAATATAAGGATTCTCATTGCTAATAACGAATTTTGAATCTCTACCCTTTAATTTCCGTAGATGCCATCTCAGTATTTAGCCAATTATATTACCAACGGTTTTCGTAATTAGCATACAATCGAATAGTAGAAGTATATCTAACAAACGGATATCTAAGTGCACGAGCCTCTTGTCACNACCAACGGTTTTCGTAATTAGCATACAATCGAATAGTAGAAGTATATCTAACAAACGGATATCTAAGTGCACGAGCCTCTTGTCACAATGAAGCTGAAAGTACACATATATACTAATATATGTATGTATGTGTGTATGTACGTATGCATGCATATATAGTCTAGTTTAGGGGCATGCCTTCTGGAATATCAGCAGCAATGACGGCAATCTCAGCCAGGAGCCACAGGAAGTATTTCACATATTGAGGGTACTCAGCCTTGCATAACTCTGCTAGATGTTTGCCTGCTAACCCAAGTCAATCTTTACACATAAATCTATATAAAAATCCTATTATATTTAAGCTAGATATAGTGATCAATATGAGCCTCACCAGTGCTTACACCAAGATTAGCCGCTAATGACTGAGTTATGAGAGCAAAGATCAACCCAAAGTAGCTGAACACAGCAAGTTACAACAAAACTCATTAGTTTCTCTCTCTTCCATCCAATATATATGCATACACGTATATATATACTGTATACATACATCTATATATATAGTATATATGTCAATGCAAATAGGAGTAAATTATATACCTCATATCCGTGGTTAGCTCCTGCTTGGAGATCTGTTTCCACTGTGACATGATACCGTGGTTTTTTTTGGAGTTAGTGACACACACAATGAGAGAGAGAGAGAGAGAGAGAGAGAGAGAGAGAGAGAGAGAGTAAAGACTTACAATTCCCAGGGTCAAGATAAGCCAGTGAGACTAGGAAACCAGGACCGACATATGATAGGAAGTTTCTCCATCCAGTTTTCTAGTTTTGGACACCGAAATGAAAGGGTATTGAAATGCCATCACGAAAACATCTACTTACAGAAGTGCATGTAGCATAAAGAAAAGAAGCAAACACGCATGAGACAGAGAGAGAGGGAGAGAAACCTGGTGCTTTTGATCCTCATTTTAAAAATCGTCCTTGTTAATTGTGATGGACGGTGGAGTATTCCTGCCCACATCAAAGTCTACGATGCGGTTGTTGCTTACACCATTAACTTGCTGTTGCTGCTGCATGCTCTCTCCCTCTCTCTCTCGTTCACTTTTGGCCTCTATTTATGGAGTAAATATTGAATAAAAGTGTGATATTATGTCCTAACGATGACGTGGTATCATCTTTCGATAATAAAATTTTAAATAAAAAAAGTGCACCCACTTGAGATTACATAGTAAGAAGGTAGAAAATTATTTATTTATATGACAGATTAGTTATTGATTTTTGTAGAATCCATGTGTTATAAAGATCTTATTTGAAAATCTAATGATGTGATTTCAATACAATTATTGAATTAATTGTGAGTTCCAATGTTAGATAGACTCTATAACCAATCTAACAATTTATATCATTAGATCTCCAAATAAGATTCACAAATTATATCCAAATAATATTTTCTTTTATGATGATCAATCAATATGTGGTTCGTACCTTAGACCAAACACTAGTTTTGACGTGCAAGTGAAAGCATAAACATTAACGGTACTTGACTAAATTTTAGAATCAAATTGATAGTTCCTCCCAAACATCCAAATGGCTAATGCTCTTTGGTTTGGTTTGGTTTGATTTGGTTTCTGGGGGTGGGGTGGGAAGTGAGGGGAGAGAGAGAGTGGAGCCCGTAAATCTATTTTAATTTATAATAGATTGATTAAATTTTGGGATCAAATTTAAAGTTCAGATGACATGATAAATAACTTGAACTTCTTTGATTTGTGTGATGTCATTTGGGCTCTAAATTTGATCCAAAAATTTAGTCAATATAACATTACTTTTTAATTTATTATGACACTTTTTGAAAGTGGGTCTAATAAGTTTCCTTTTTCTAAATTTTGATAAATTCTTTTGAAAATGGATTTGTCGACTCGGCTTCTAAAAAAGTGCCGTAAACTAATAAATAAACTTAAAATTATCATAAATTGATAAATTTGTTTAAAAGCAGTTATACATTAATAAATAATTACATAATGGTAATATATGTAGTAAAAAAACATGATCTAAAAGCTAATATTTCTACTCCGTCAGTATGGTCTAGTATATATGATGCATTAACGACCTGGTTTTCGTTATCCTTTTGACATCTGTTTGAGATCCAGTGCCTTAAAAACCAAACCAAGTACCTCTGTCTGAAAGGAAGCTGTTGCTTTGGGATCAACAGCCGCGAGCCGGCAACATTAAAAGTTAAAAACAAATTCATGGGGGTGAAAGAAAGCCGGCTAGGTAAGGACTCGGTCTTTATTGTTCATTTTTTGGGTCGTTGAGGATTCGATCGCATTCCATGATGGGAGACGACACACAAGAGAGTCAAGCTCTTTGATTGGTAAATATTCATGAGACCGCCTCTCAATAAAAAATTTATAAATGGGCAAAGTGATTTTTTTTTCCATGTATATTGTAGTTATTAAATTAAATGGGCTCCACTGTCTTATTTATAATTTTTTTAATAGATGATGACATCACGTAACATTGATGATGTAATGTTATTTTTACATTCAATAATTACTCCACTTTAATGCTTTGTTTGGTAGAAATGATGAAAAGTAAGAATGATGAAAAGTAAGAATTGATGAAAAGTAGGAGGGATACACTTTCTATTTGTTTAAGGATGAAAAGTAGGAATGATACACTTTTCTTTCTTTGTGTTTGGTTGGATGGATAAAAAAATTAAAATGACTAATTTTTTTTGGTAATGGCTAAGATTAGAGTTGAAAATCCAATCGTGTCGTGTCAGATTCGTGTTGAGTCATAAAATTATGAGTTTTTTATATTTTTTGTTTGTGTGTCAGGTCATTTTTAAGTTCGTATCGAGTTATAATCAAATTTGTGTTATAAAATTTGTGTCGTATACGAGTCCTGTCATCGTGTTGAGTCAAAAATTTTCACCCCTAGTTAAGATGAAAAATATATTTTTTTAATTTTTAATTTTAATTTTTTTTAAAAAATATATATATATATATATATATATATTTTATAATTATATTTTNTTAATTTTTAATTTTAATTTTTTTAAAAAAAATATATATATATATACATATTTTATAATTATATTTTTATATAAAATTAATGTATACATAATATATATATATATACAAATAAGATACATCTCAACACAAATAATTAACTTTTCATCCACTTTCTTTCCGATTTTCAAGGGATTAATTTTGATGAATTGGAAGAAAAGTTAATTCATTCAATTTTCCATCCTTCCTATTTTCCTTTCTTATCAAACATGATGTTTTATGATATTTTATCTGTCCCTCCAATTTTCTATTCTTTTATTTTTTTCATCGTACCAAATGGAGCATAAGACCATCTAAAACGAGCACGATTAGGTTGTTCAAATCAAATTAACCATACGAAAAATAAGAGTAACAAAAACACTGATGCCCACTGAGAGACCAGTGATCCAATGCCCACTATGCATGTTTAAATTTATTCCTATCTAAAAATTTAAGCATATATATAATAAGCCTATCAATAATATATTATGACACTTTAACGTATTTTGTTTAATCCGATTTACGATTCTCACACATTTTTTCTTCCATTAACACAATAGCAGACCAAATATCATGAGCCCAAGTGAGAACTATTGTGTTCAAATTGGTCCACCACTAATACTTGGTGTTTGATCATCAAGTAGAGAGCGAGATTCTGATTTTTCGCAATATATTTTTTTTGTCTCAAATTTTCTCAATATTAGATTATTCACCATAAATGTATGATAAATATACTTAATACAATGAATTTCACTTGAATTTATAACGAATGATTTGCTCCTGCAATGAAATTAAGTAAAAAAATATATTAATAACAAACTCACACTAGCATCATGGAAGCTTGTAATAGCATATTGTGAAATAAATGAAAAACCAACGAGGAAAATTTATGTGTCCCATATTTTTCGTGTTCGAACGTAAGACTACACGAAACACAGTACTTTATGAAACTTCATGGAGAGGACATTTCTCCCAAATGGCCAGGCTGATACGGGTGCAATCACGCCTGTGACATGACCAAGTTGTTTGAAAAAAAGAGGACTAATTATAGTGTCGGAGTTTAGTGTATGCGTCTTGTGTCTTTTTAGTCTTTAATATTTCGATTGTCTTAACTCGATTCAAAAAAATATTGAAACTAAATTTATATGATTTCTAAGTCTAACAACATTTAAATTTTTGACAGAATTTGACCATGAACTCTGCTTATATGATCCAACTAGATTTTGTTCCTTTAGAGTCATCAAGTTAACCCTATTAGTAACGGTTATAAAATTATCATAAATGCTTTTAGTCTTTAGAAGTTTGAGTCACAATCGAGTTGATTGGTCATCCTCCTTAATGAATGAGTTGATATAAATAGGATTACGCACGTCATGGATTTAATTCTACATGATTCAACTATCTATACTATTTTAAAATATCAACATATGTGAAAAATATCTTTTTTTCAATTTTATCCTCTAACATTGCAACTATGTCATCCATTTCCTTAAGAGTTAATTGCTTCCCATTACTTCTTCTCAGTCGTTAACCTCTCTCCCTATTTTCTCTTCCTCGTCTCTCTCTTTATCTAGCTAATTACAGAGTTGTAAATTCTCTTCAGCCATTACAGTCTCTCCCTGTCCATCTTCTCTCTCCTGCGCAGACCCCTCTCTTCACCTTCCTCTCTTCATCTCTCTATCTCGACTGCGAATTCACAGATTCGATAAGAGCACACCCCCTCCACCGTCCCCCTGTTAGTCTCTCTCCTCCCCTCCCCCCTCCCCCAAAAAAAAAAGTGTTTAATTACATGTATTCAATTACAGAAATCAGTTATGCATCCATTTTCTTTTTTCTTTTAATGCTTTGGTTGTGACTATACACATCCCAACAATTAATTTGTATAATAAAAATGATTGCACAGCTTCTTTGAAATCCTATTTACCATCGCCCTTTGATCGTCTCTATTCAGGGGCAGAGCCAAACAAATTTTTTAGGGTGGACAAACTACCATGTTTTATTTTTAATTTTTTTAATAGATCGTAAAAGTTCATAAATTTATGTTTATTAAAATTATATTTAATATTTTTTAAACATAGAAGATTAAAAATTGATATACTCATAAAAAAAATAATAATTAAAACTTTTTATCGAAAATGCGAATAATTATTATTACTTACAATTGACTTTGATATGTTTTTATTATTTGAAAGAGTTACCAATTAATTTTATCAATAATATTTCTTTTATATAAAATCAGGGTAACTATCTTCCATTTATGATCTTATAGTTTACTACATAATGATACACATTTTTATACAATAACGAAATAATCTTACAATTTAAAAAAAATTATAAAATAACATCAATATGTTCAAAATATATTCGGACATGTCTTAAACATGTCTAAAAATTAACAATTATATTAGTTGTACCTATTTGAAAATTTAATAGATGGAGACCCAATGGTTTGTGATCAATGGATAGATAGTAAAGTTTATTAAATATTAAAACTTACTATTGTACTTAACAATATATTAGGTCCTTAAATTAAGTTTCAATAATATTGTTCAAAAGTTAACAATCATTTAGGTAGGGGTCTATTCAAATCAATATCACTAAAACACAATATTATGGTGGACATAGTTAAATATGCATAAATTTTATTTTAAAAATACATACTTAATATGAAGAAAAAAAAAATTGAGGGGCAGCATGTGCCCTCCCTAGCCCAAGGGTGGCTTCGCCTCTGTATCTATCAGACGTTGGCTGCCTTTTGCATCTTGGCATTACACAATCGTCACTGTACTGCTTTATCAAGTAATGAGTTTTTGTTAACAAATCCTTACCGTAATTTCTGCATTTACTCATTATCCTCTTCTAATTTTATACACTTTGTCCAAAATTTAACTGGAAAATCTCGTAACTTTACATAAGAAACCCATTCCGTCTTCAAGCTCTCCACCGCTAGAGGATCTCCACCCCCTCCCTCATACCAGGTAATTGCCACGTATGATCCAATTATTAGTTCAGAATTTTTTTGATTGGTTTGGTTCTGTTAGTTTTCATTTTGGATTTTGCTTATTATATTCTATTTTGCTGATGAGATTACTGGGAGAATAGAATTATGAAATCTATGTGGAAAGCAAATATTGAATTATATATGATTTACGTTGGTGTTTTCTTTTTTGTGAATTCATTTCTGAATCAGTTCATTATTCAATTTAGTTGTTGCAACACTGGTGGAGAATTGAATATTAACAAGAAAAAACGTGTGATATGCACTGCTATTGTGCACTTGCACTGAAACTAGAGTCCATGCTCTGTTAAGATGCTTCCTTGCATGTGTATCAATTATTTGTATCCCTCAAAGTGCTGCACACCATCATATAAGAGCACAAATTGTGACTGAGCAATATCATCATAAAAGAGTTTTGTAGACATAAGAAAATCCAAGATCATTAGTGGACTGCAGCTTTTGGGATGAGGTTATGGAGTAACACGTATTGCTTACAATCCCCCCTCCTCTTTCCAAAAAAAAAAAAAAGAAACAAAACAGAAATTTTTAATAGGAAACCGATTGACAACTAGCTCCCCAGCCCCAAACGCAGCAAACAAGCAAATAAAAAAATAAAATTGTAATAAGTGTCGCTATACTCTTCATGATCAGGGTGTCGTTAGTTCCTTCTGCTCCATCATCCTCTAAATCATTTGGGTTTCTATGTGGCCTACCCTGCACAGATTGCTCCTTAGAAACACCAATATGATTAGGCTCCTCAAATGATACACCAAATTGAGACAATTCTTGCACTGAATTTGACATGCCTTCAGAAATACTCAATTCCTCAATTGTATCATCCGTGTCTTCGTCAGAACGCAACTTGGTCAGTGATTCTTTGACACCATCTTGTTCTCTAGCTTGTTTCTCCACTCTCGAGGAGAAGTCGGGATGAGTTTTGCATTGGCGAGTGCTTTCAATCTCAAGAGCATGGAGAATGGCATCTTCCTTCCTTGCATATTTCACGGCTTTCTTAGAAGAATTTGCTGCAGCAGCCTTAGCTTTTCAATGCAATCATCATGTTATCCACAAAGTGAATCTTCACTGATTCTTCAAAAATTGCAAATCATAGACTCTTAGGTGTCATGTTATTCTTTAGCTTCTTCAAAAAAGGAGCGTGGTATTTCTAGCAGGAAAGATAATGTTGACACGCATTTGAATTGTTCCTTAAGTGGCATCAAATTCAATCAGATATTAACTTTCACAATAAAATTAAAAATTATAGATCATCAAATTTTGAATAACTTATACCTTATGTTGCTTGTATTTCTCACTCAATACAACCAAAGGGCTTCCTCTTTTACTCAATTGCAACTCATGTATAAGACAATCACAGTCCTTTAAATCAACTCATGTATCAGCTGTGTCATCATTTATTGCAAGTGACTATAGAGAATTTTCTGCACTGAGAGAGTTAGATCTAGTGTTCGTGATATGGTTCTTGTATGTCTCTTCATAAGTTTACACAATTTAAGGGGAGAAAGTTCTTGTATTATGCAGACCAATAAAACAATCACGTTGGTTGCACCAAACCGTCGCATAATATTATATCATCGTTCATCTCACAATGATCCTTAATAGGAACTTTCCTTAACAGTTAATGAAGTCAAATTCACCAAGAGAAGGAAAGTAAACAAGAAAAGTACACCTTATTATCATTTAAGTACGTAGTGATAACCCGTGCCTGAAGGCATTGTGCAATTTTAAAAATCGAACATTAAGCGTAGACACAAAAAAATTAAGTATTGAATATAAATAAACACTAAGATGAAAATCTAAACTACATCTTTAAGACAATGGTACTATAATGAAAAAAAACTGCAAATCAAAAAATAGAAAAAGAAAGAACTAATTGGTGGCATCATTTGTACAAATTTACGGAACAAATGTAACTCATCAATATGAGAAATCAAACAAATACATGAAAGCAACTGTAATCCATTTACATAGAGGCAAAGATATTAATGGGTATAAAAAAAAACATTATGCACTCAAATATTAGAATAACAAACAAATAAAATTCCTTCAAATCACATAGTAAATATGAATAAGCTATTGGTTACAACAAATCCACACTATAGTACTCCATCACTTTCTCTATCAATCTAATTACCTGTTCAAACGAAAAGAACCCAACACGAATTTTAGCTTATAATCTTATACAGAACTCACAATTTTATGGAAAAGCGTCAAAAAAAAAAAAAAGCAGCAGCAATGCAGTATAAAAAAATACCTCCAAGAATTTTCCTCAGTTTTGAGATCTTGTGCAAAAAATTGGCAACTTCCAGCTTCAATATTCAACGTAAAATTTAGCTCTATTAATGATAAGTGTCTTATTTTATAATAAGAAAATATACCAAAAGAAAAGAGATAAAAATATGANCTCTATTAATGATAAGTGTCTTATTTTATAATAAGAAAATATACCAAAAGAAAAGAGATAAAAATATGAGTAGAAAAGCATCAAGCTAGTGGATCAAAGCTAAATCAATAGGATATCAACAAAGAATGATCAAAGTAAGGTACAACTACTGTAGAAAGTAATTCGAAACTTACTATCTAGTCATGCACCAAAACTATTGTAATTCCTAAGGATGACAAAAACAAAGCATACCCATATCACATAAACACAAATTCTCTAGAAGCACAAACAAAGAGCCATTTGTACAAATACAATTGATAATATGAAAAACAATTAAAGTCACATAATTATAATAGAAATATAAACCTACTGAGTTTACATGTTTGCCTATGCCCCACTTTCTTGAACTCTTAGTAAAACATTTTATGAATGAATCATATTCTGGACTTGGAATTTTGTATGAAAATTGGACTAAGCCAATGAGACCATAAGGCAATTGCAATTAAGAAGGACCCAATTTATAGGCAAAAAAAAAAAAAAAAGCAAGGAAAATTAAAACTCAAAAAAGGCACCATGGACTTCTTCTTTCGCTCCGACAATTCGTCGACAGCCTAGAACGCAGAGGCATTGGTTTCTAGTTTTAGCCTGACTTAAGGGCTATTTTTCTTCTCTTTGACATTTTGCGGAGGTTGCATTTTTGTGTGTATGTGTGAAAGAAGGGGGTGGTATTGGTAGAGGGGGAAGAAAGGGTGGGTTATGTGTGAGATAGAGAAACAGAGCAGTGAAAAGGGGAGAGTTGGGTGGGGGGTTCGTTCAGAGTGTGAAAGAGAAAGAGAGAGAGCTCATCAACAGAAATGGCATTTAGAATTTTAGCACATTGGGCGACTACCTCATTAGTCAATACCATCCTCTTGTTCATCTTCTTCAATCAACCTATCTTTGAAGCCATTGTCCAAACCTCTTGAAACCCTCACCTTGGAGACCAAAAACCACTGAAACAAAGCAAACCCAATTCCAATCAAAGCAAACAAAGGAATCAGAATCAATGTGAGGTCTCACACATCAAACCCATTTGTTTTTTGTGTGAGACAGAAAAGCAGAAGAAGGAGATAGGGATAACTGGTGGGGGGGGAGGGGTTCGTTCAGAGTGTGTGTGTGTGTATGTGTGTGTGAGAGAGAGAGAGGCATATAAGAGGAATACCTGGGGGTATGATGGTGGTGGGGTGTGTGGTGGTGGCGATCTTGCCAGGCCGATGGTGGTGTCGTCGGCGAGCGTAAGAGAGAGAGAGAATAAGAAGTGAAAGAAAGTATGTAAAAAAAATAAGAAGCATACTAAAATTCAAAGTGCAATAGCTGAAGGAAACACAAACCTGACCTTAGGGACTCCAAGAGTGTTTTTGTTTTTTGTGTGTGTTTTCTACGTAGAGAGAGAGATAAAAAAAGGAAGAGGCGTGACTGAGAGAGGAGACTGAGGGAGGGAGGGAGAGACATCATATGAGTGTGAGAGAGAGAGAGGTACATGAGCAATAGGAGTCTAGAATTATATATGAGATGAAAGACTTGCTCAAATTTTTGAATAGGAAAAAAAAAATTCAAACATCAATTAGATTTATGTAAACAAAATTAATAAAAGAAATGTTGTTGGACGAGAAAATAAAATTCAGTACTCACTATAAACCATCAAATCACTATTTATGAAATGATCTAAACTGTCTTTTATCTTGAGATTATATTGTCTATTGGAGGTATTTATGTTTTGTCTTAAAACGATCTGAACCTCTATTTATTTTTTGGATTCAAACTTCGTTTTAATTTATTATATAGATAGAGTAACCAAATATATCAAAAGACAAATGTCAAGATTGAGATATATCATTTCTTCTTGATATAAAAATCATGCACGTTTATCTCGAACTTAATTTGGTCTAGATTCCTTCAATATATTTTCTCTCAACTTCTTTCAATAGTAAATCACCAAAAGATTGATTTGCAAGGGGTCTCATTTATATTTAATGGCGAAGAATTTTGTGTTCAAGTTAACGAAAGTGCATTCACCAAAAACAGTAATGAAGCTCTGAATTTTTTATTCAATATATAACAGTACAATTGAGTAAAAGATAATGACGAAAATATAGCAGTACAATTGATTAAAAAGATAATAACAAAAATATAGCAAGTTCATCCTAACAGAAATACTTCTCAAAAAATAATTCTCCTCGAGTCAAGTGCTAATCTTCTTAAACCAGATGAGTGCTCTCGGTTGCCAATGAGTGGATGGATGTCATCGACAAGGTATAATTGTGCTCTGTTAACTTGAAAGAATTAACACAATATTAAATAAAGACGAAGAGTGGTTAAAACTTAACCTAATTCTCATACATCATTTATATTTATAGTTAACTCATAATAACAAGAATTACACATACATTCTCTTGTATTTATACATAATACCTTAATACTCTTAATAATTTACACATACTACCATAATACTTTTAACACTCCCCCTCAAGTTGGACTATATATATCATATAATCCAAGCTTNAAGAGTGGTTAAAACTTAACCTAATTCTCATACATCACTTATATTTATAGTTAACTCATAATAACAAGAATTACACATACACTCTCTTGTATTTATACATAATACCTTAATACTCTTAATAATTTACACATACTACCATAATACTCTTAACACTCCCCCTCAAGTTGGACTATATATATCATATAATCCAAGTTTGGAACAAATCGTTGTAAGACGTGTACAACTCAATGCTATGATAAACATATTAGCAAGCTAATCTTCAGATTTCACGAATGGAGTCATAATCTCCCTTGCTATTATGTTGNGTGTACAACTCAATGCTATGATAAACATATTTGCAAGCTAATCTTCAGATTTCACGAATGGAGTCATAATCTCCCTTGCTATTATGTTGTCCTGAATAAAGTGACAATCAACATTAATATGTTTGATTCTTTCGTGAAACACTGGATTGACAGCGATATGAATAGTTGTCTGGTTGTCACAGAACAACTGTAAAGGAAGCTGAACTGGAAACCCAATTTCTTGGAGGAAGTGTAGTAACCAAGTCAACTCACTCGTCGTACGCGACATTGCCCTNGTTCTTTCGTAAAACATTGGATTGGCAGCGATATGAATAGTTGTCTGGTTGTCACAGAACAACTGTAAAGGAAGCTGAACTGGAAACCCAATTTCTTGGAGGAAGTGTAGTAACCAAGTCAACTCACTCGTCGTACGCGACATTGCCCTATACTCAGCCTCAACACTGGATCTTGCTACCACGGATTGTTTCTTACTTTTCCATGAGACAATGTTATCTTCTAAGAAAGTACAATAACCAGTGGTTGATCTTCTATCAGAAGGAGAGTTAACCTAATCAGCATATGAGAAACGTTACACTCTAAGATGTCAATTAGCTCGATATAACAATCCAAGTCCAGGAGCTCATTTGAGATATCGCAGAATGCGGGTAACTGCCTCCCAATGNCCTAAGAAAGTACAATAACCAGTGGTTGATCTTCTATCAGAAGGAGAGCTAACCTAATCAGCATCTGAGAAACGTTACACTCTAAGATGTCAATTAGCTCGATATAACAGTCCAAGTCCAGGAGCTCATTTGAGATATCGCAGAATGCGGGTAACTGCCTCCCAATGTGGTACTCTAGGATACCCCATGAATTGACTTACCATACTGACTACATAGGAAATATCCGATCGAGTAATAGTGAGATAATTCACCTTCCCAACCAATCTGCAACACCGACTCAGATTCTCAAACAATGCACCAGCATCCATCAATATTTTCTGATTCGGATCCATAAGAACATCAATCAGTCTGTCACCCAGCAACCTTGCTTCCTCTAACATGTCAAGTATATATTTCCTCTATGATAAACAAATAACTTGTTTAGATCGAGTCATTTCAATTCCCAAGAAATACCTGAGTTTTCTCAAATCTTTAGTATGAAATCGATATTGCAAGAAGATTTTTAATTTGACAATCCCTTTAGAATCATTTCCAGTAATCATAATATCATCTACATAGATTACCAATAGAACATATCCAGCATTCGTCTGTCTATGAAGCACAAAATGATCTGTCTGACATCGAAGAAGACCAAACTCTAAAACTACATCTGAAAACTTATCAAACCATGCCCTCGGTGACTGCTTCAAACCATATAAAGATTTCTTTAACCGATATACATTCTTACCATACTCCCCCTGAGCAGTGAACTCATGTGACTAATCCATGTATACCTCTTTAACTAAGTTATTATGTAGGAAAACATTCTTGACGTCTAACTGAAACAAGGGTCAAGCAAGATTAGCAGCCAAAAAAATCAAGATACGAACAGAGGAAATTTTGACGATAGGAGAGAAAGTCTCCACATAATTAACTCTATAGGCCTGACTAAAACCCTTTGCAACAAGCCGGGCTTTGAGACGCTCTACAAAATCATCCAAATGAAATTTAACAGTATACACCCAACGACAACTAACAGTTCACTTACCAGGAGGTAAAAGAACGAGATCCCAAGTCCCATGATGATGTAAGACATTCATCTCATCCTCCATAGCTTTCCTCCAACCTGTATCAGATAATGCATCATATAAATGCTTAGGAATAGATATAGTAGATAATTGAGAGATAAAACAAGAGAAGACAGGAGAAAAGGCATCATATGAAACAAAATGAGCAATGAGATAATGAGTAACACATGAACGAATACCTTTTCGAAGAGCCAAAGATAAAGAGTCTAAATTACCATGGACCAGGATCAGAAGGCGGCAAGGAAGACGGTACGGGCACCTCAGTCGATGGTTGAGGACGACGAGAGTTTACACGAAGAGGTAAAGTAGATGGTAACACAGTGGGCAACAGAATATCTGAAGATGAGAGAAGAGATGGTGGTACAAGAGATAACCCAAAGTCCAGATCCAAAGGCTGAGAAGGTACTGAAAAATATGAAACAAATTTCTCAAATGTGACATCGGCATTAGTAAAATATCATCATAGAGAAGAACTATAGCAACGATACCCCTTCTGTGTGCAAGAATAATCAAAAAATACACATTTTGTAGCTCGAGGGTCAAGTTTATCAAACCCAAGACCCAAATTATGAATATAACAAACACATCCAAAAATCTTAGTAGGTAGGAAAAATAAAGGCTTACTAGAAAAGAGGACAGAATATAAACTTTTTCCATTTAACATAGAGGATGATATACGATTAATAAGGTGATAAGCAGTAAGAATAACATCACTAAAAAAATATCAAAAAATATTCATCTGAAATAGCAAGGCACGGTGACTTCTAACAAATGACGGTTCTTGTGTTTAGCAACACCTTTCTGTAGAGATGTGTAAGCACAGGAAGTCTGATGAATAATACCAATTTTACTAAGATAAGATGAAAAAGGATCAGATTCATATTCCTGAGCATTATCAGAACGTAAAATACGTATACGACAACCATATTGAGTTTTTATTTTTTTACGAAATGTCTCAAATATATAGTCATCACAAAATAAGGATATTTATTAGATGAAATATTCTTTATTGGACTCCATACATCAAATGGACTAACTCAAATGAACTAGATACACAATTATTGACTCTAGACTGAAATGACACACGGTAATGCTTATTAAGTTAACAAGCTTCACAAGACAAAGACAACACATAACTAAAAATGGCAACTTGACGCTTCAGATTCTGGAAAGAGGGATGTCTAAGACGACAATATCATTAAAAAGGAGACAATGAGGTTTGTAGGGCTCGAGTAGGTGAATCAAAATCAAAAGTAATATAGGCCACCATCTTCATGTCCCGTACCAATCTTCCTCTTCGTCTTGAAATCCTGAAAGACACAATAAGATGGATAAAAGGTCACAAAACAATTGAGAGAATGAGTAATCTTACTAATGGAAAGTAAACTAAAAGGAAACTGAGGGACAAATAACACAAAACATAGGGACATATCAGGACTCAAGTGAGTAGTCCCAAGACCTGAAACTTTAGAACAAGTACCATTAGAAAGAGTAACATTACATGTGAAAGTAGCAGGATGATAAGTAGAAAGAACATCAGACACACCAGTCATATGGTTAGAAGCGTCAGAGTCTATGATTCAGGGACTGCGAGTGGAGGACAATAAACAAGTAGAAATAATACCTGACTGAGCAAAAGTAGCAGTGGAGGGAGATGAGATAGTCTTTTGCTGAGATAGAAACTGGGCATACTCCTCTCGACCCAGTGTAATAGTAATTGACCCAGTGTCTGGTGGAGCTGACTGAGGTATGAGAGCAACAACAGAGGTATCATCTTCATAGGAAGCCTTATTCGCAACACCAGAAGCTTTTCCATGTAAATCTCAATAGAAATCAACAGTGTGCCCTTCACGAACACAGTGAGTACATGAACGGGGTACACTACAGCCCCCACGACCACCTGTACGATCTCTTTGACCATTATGACGACTATCACTGTGGCTATTAGGAACCACAAAAGCTAAGTGATCAGTGGAGACAACATGATCAATCCCTAAAGGAATAGACAATGTAGCACGCTGTAAACAAGAGAAAACCTTAAGCAGTGATGAAAGACTAGAACCACACAAAATCTGAGAATGAATAGCCTCATATTCAGGTTTCAATCCTACCAAAAACCTAACAACATTCAGGTTCTCATGTTGCTTCTGTCAAACTGCTGCATCAGTAGTAAACAGATGGTAGGTCTTCATCTCCTTACAGACTCCCCGAATGTGAGAGTAATAATTCGTAAGGCTTAGAGTACCCTGCTCCAACAGGAAATACTCCTTGTACACCTCATAAGCACGGGTAAAATTATCTGTACCAGAATACATAGTGGTCAAGTGATCTTATATCTCTTTGGTAGTATCAAGATAGAGCAGAGAAGAGCTAATACTAGGCTCAATGTTATTCAACAATAAAGAGATAATCTGAGCATCCTCTTGTTCCCACTGATCATACCCAAGAGTATCTTCCTTGGTTTTAGGATTAACCAAATATTTTTTAAAACCTTTGTCTCGAAGAAAGACTTGAACAAAGCTTTGATACTACGTTAACTTGAGAGAATTAACACAATATTAGAAAAAGACGGAGAGTGGTTAAAGTTTAACTTAACTCTCATACATCACTTATATTTATAGTTAACTGATAATAACAAAAATTACACATACACCCTCATATATTTATACATAATACCTTAATACTCTTAACAATTTACACATACTACCCTAATACTTTTAACATCCTCCTTGAACATGAATTGCTCCTTGAAAGTAACTCCTAAAAGTAATCCTGATAGGACCCATGCGATCACTAATAATCTCCTAGATTGTTGTATAAGATCACTTTTTTTTTTTATGTTGTAATCTTCTTGACCGACCTTGGTGAATCTTCTGCATACCCACAAGAGAAAAAACATCAACAATCATCCAAATGGACCGTAAATCTTACTGCACCATAGATGACCAAAAAACTAAAAGCTAGGACATTGAGAGTGATACAATACCTGAGAAATGTCTTAATTGTAGGATTTCCCATTTTAAACTTCAGAGATTTGAGTAAATCAACTTCCATCTTCACCACCTCTTCTTTACTGTACGTATTATGAGTGATGTAACAAAAATCTTCCACATGGGGAGAGTTGATTTCTTCATACTTTCTACTCCATCACCACACAACACAAAAATTCATAAGCAAAAGCCCAAAAAAATTACCCAGAGAGTAGTTTTAAAACCATATCTTGATGCTTACGAGGCAATGAGCATTGAAGAGACACCCAAATTAGCACTTACGGATCAGATATTAACTTTCACAATAAAATTAGCACTTACATATCATTAAATTTTGAACAATTTATACCTTACGATGCTTGTATTTCTCTCTCACTACCACCAAAGAGCTTCCTCTTTTACTCAATTTGCAACTCGTGTATAAGACGGACACAATCCTTTAAATCAACTACTTTAGCTCATGCATTTGTTATGATTCTACTACATTGTCGTGCGGGAATCCATTATGTATATACTTGGTTAATATTTGTTCCATTTTGTGGGTATCTTTCCATAAGTGACATATTCTCATTTTTTGAATAACTTGTAATTTAATGGACTATTCCTCTTCCATAATAGCCCTCCTCCATTAAGGAGTTTATATGTTATATAGAGTTGCAAATGTTACATTCAAAGGTGATACCCCTCTGGTAGTTTTATAATAAGCAGGCATTAGATAAAGTCATGTAAATATTAATACTTTCAGAAAGAGGAAATTAAAACTATGAATTCTGCTATGGGTGCTTTATTTATTTTCCTCCTCTTGGGTGTTTTGTTTTTTCTATTATAATTAGTATGACTATAATTATTTTTCATTTTGTTCTCTGCCCTCTCTCTTTTACCAGACCTTGCCTTTACCTATATGTTGCTATATTGGCTATCTTTCTCTGTTTACCCAAGCTCGTGATTTAGTTTATTTACCCAAATCTTTTTTTGATTCTTCATTCATGAAATATTTAAATTTAGTCATGCAGTATTCCAGAGATTAGCAGATGATCACTTTTGCAAAAGAAACCGCTATATTGTCATAGCAGTGAATATTTGGTCACTTTACCTTATTTTCTTATTGGCCTCTTTTACTTTTTTGGGTTTTTCTGTTTCTTGAAGGAACTGGATTTTGCAATCTCTTAAGCAGGAAAATATGGGATTAAGTTAATTTTGAGCTTGGTGAATAACTACAAAAACTTGGGAGGAAGGAAACAGTATGTGGACTGGGGAAAAAATCAGGGGCAGTACTTATCTTCTGATGATGATTTCTTAACAAACTCTGTGGTGAAGGGATACTACAAAAATCATATCAAGGTGCTTCATAATTTACATCTTTACACATTTTAAATCTTGTTCTTGCTGAATAGACTTGATTTTCTTTCTACCTCTTTTAATGGAGGGTTATGGGGGTAGGGGTGGGGATGAAGAATCATGCAGAAGTTGGGTTTCAGTATCAGACTTGATTTTGTTAGTGTTAATATGATCTTCATAGCCCAACAAATATAGACAATGATTAGCCATCGTGAATCAGAATCTTGATATCTACTCGAATTTCAACTAATTTTCAATGTTTCATTTTTTATAGACTGTTCTTACAAGGAAAAACAACATAACTAGAGTTGCCTACATGGATGAGCCTACAATAATGGCATGGGAGCTTATGAATGAGCCTTGATGCACTTCAAATCGATCAGGGAAAATCATATAGGCCAGAAACATCTTCATGCTACTTTTGCCTCCTCATCAATTCACTTAGAAATCTATTCTTCGCAACAAATTTTTACGAACTTATGTGTGTGTGTTTGTCTGTGTGTGTGTGTGGTCTGTGAACTTACCCACACCCTTCACATGACTTAACAAAGCACTAGCACGAGTTGGTTTCTTTCAATTAGATTGGCCATTATTTTAATTTCAAGAGAGTTGACGAAATGTTGCTTGATTTACTTGACTGTAGTTTTTCTCTAGGCTTGGATTATAGAAATGACTTCTTATCAGAATCTCAGAAGTAGCAATATAATCCAAACTTTCAAGTTGGAACCGATTTCAGAGCAAATAATCAGATTACAACCTTTGATTTTGCTATAGTATGCTTTGGGTAATGCTTTCGGTTATACAGACATTGATATATGAGTTACTGCTTGATACATTCACATCACATGAGCTATTTCATGACTTTCGTGCAATCACTTTATTTTTAACCTACTGTATCCATTCGGTAATTTTTACATTAATAGCCTATTTCGTTTTCCTTTCATTAGTATATTTCGCCAAAGATTGTATCATGTCATTGCTTCATTAAAGGTTGGATGCTAATGACAACACTTAAGGCCAAAATAAAAAGAGCAATGCAATGTAGAAATTCAAATTCACAATGTATTAAGAAATTGATCTAGCATTTGATACCAAGACATGTTAGAGGAGGAGACCACAACTCATCAAATCAAAGATTTTAGCTTAAAATGGTTCACGTGTAACGCACGTGTGAACCAACTAGTATAAGAAATGAAGGATTAGAGAATTCAAAAAAGAGTTATCTCAAGATACTTTTTGCACAATTAACCCTACCTTTTGAACATATTTTTCTCTTTACTTTCTCTTCATTCTCTTTTCCTCTTTGTTTTTTTTTTTCTTTTTTACACCCCCTTTTTCTTTCCCAAGCCTTTGGCTTCTTTTTTTTCTTTTTTTTTTTTCAATCCCCCAACATTTTGTTGATTCTTCTATTTTCTTTTCAGTTTCATTCCTTTTTTTCTTATGTTGCCCATGCTTGAGCTTTTACATAAATCTCTCAGCTTCCTTGATAAAAACTTTACAATTCAAGGGATAACCAAAGTAATATATATATATATATGTGTATATCTATTGTCGCTTGGCTTGGTTAAACTTTACGACTAAGAATTAAACATTGAATTAGGCTTAATCATGGCTTATAGGGATAAATTATAAGATAGAACAAGTTAAGACTTAAAATTATCCAAAAGATGGCCTAAAATTATTTTCCTAAAACAATGAAAAATTTTAATCGATAGAGATACAATCAAGTAATCATTCCTCATACTTTAACCTAGATAAATATAATGAGACTATTAAACTTGCCAACCCTAACTCTATCTCAATGGGACTGATTCTCTCTCTAGGGTTCCTATGAGAGTCTTCTCTGTGGTTTTGTCCTCTGGTGTATGTGTTTGTATTGTTAACAGTGGTGTCAATCTCCCTAGTGTCGATTTATTGGTGACTGCCTTCTCAATCTGTAATTTTTCTCTTCCTTCGTCTGTTCATTATCGATCTTATGGATGAACATTTTTTTCAGTAGTTGAAGACTTTTTCCCTCTCGGTTAAGGAAAGTAGTGTCCTTGATATTGGTACTTCTGATATTGTTAATGGTATTACTGAATGTGAAAAGAGTTTTTTGGGTAAACTAATCACGGAAAAACATGTTAATCCTATTGTCTTGTGTAACACTATGTCCTCTGTTTGGGGTTACAAGGATTTGCGAGTGATCAAAATTAAACCCAACTTATTCCAGTTCTTCTTCGCAGACCAAAGGGATGTTGCCAGAATCAATCATATGGGGCCTTGGTGTTTTGATAATCAACTTTTAGTTTGTCAACAATGGGTTCTGAATAGGCATATATTCGCAAATGGATTTTGATAAGACTTACTTTTGGATTCATGTGATAGGAATTCCAAGGGAGTGTTGTAAAAAACGGAGTTGCTCTGAAGATTGTAGATAGTTTCCAGAAATATGAGGCAGTTGAAATTAGGGCTACTATTGATGGCGGTATGAAATTTTTCCATACAAGGGCAAGAATTAATATTCTGGAACCTTTACGGCGCGGAATCATGTTTCGGAATCCTGGTGGTGAACAAATTTTTGCGATTTTTCAGTATGAACGATTGCCTCATGTGTTGTTTCAGTGTGGTTTAATGGGTCATGTATTGAAACATTGCTCTGAAACTTGTAAAGTAATGGAAAGATTGGAAATCTGCAATAGGTTTGGTCCTTGGCTTAACACAACTGTTATGAAATCCCTTCTTCTGATCAAGTGCGATGTTCCGGCGGTAGACGTGAATACTTCTTCGACGGCAGCAGTTACGGAGACAACCAACGACAGCAGTTACAGAGCCAACTGCTGAACGGTTAGCGTATATGCAGTTTTCAAAGAAGATCTCTATACCTAACCCTGTTTATTCGGAGCCTACAGTGTCAAGGTCTACTCTGGTAAAGCAAAATAATTACGGAATACTAATATAGAGGATATTAGTATCTCAAACTGAATCACCTTTAGTTGAGTCTGAACATCCTGGCCCAAATACTAATATAGAGGATATTAATGTGAATGGTTTACTTTATGAATTGGGTGTTTCAATAGAATCAAATCCTTCTCAATCTGGATATTGTTTACAGAAACTCATAGACCATCTTCGTTTCTACATCGAAGTCCTAACCAGTTTGAAAAGAGAGAGTTGAATATAGCTCCTCGTCGGTGTTTCTCTCAGGTAGAAAAAGGGAAATCGATTAGGGCTTATAAAACTTCTCAAAGGATTCTGGATTGGTCGATTCAGGAAGTTACATGTGGTGAGAAGAGGAGTTTTGAGGGTAAGGATGTTGAAGATATTTCGAAGAAGCCTAAGGGTTCCAACAAAGATGAGGTGAGCTTAAGAAGGTTCAGGGGTTTCGAAGTAGAGGATGTTAATTCAAAGAAGATAAAGGGTTCCACATAATTTGGGAATAAGTTGAAGAAGAACAAGGGATGTCCAGTAGTAGAAGTCAGTTTGAACAAGAAAGATGGTCACAAAGAAGAAGCAATTTCAATTTCTTTATTGACGAAGACTGATCCTCAGTCCCACCGATCGCCATGATCGGTATTATATGGAACTATTGAGGGGTTGGGAACCCTCAGACAGTTCGAGCTCTTCATCATCTTGTGAAGAAGGAAGTTCCCAATTTGGTTTTCTTAATGGAAACCAAACTCGATTGCAAACGATTTCAATGGATTCAACAACGAATTGGCTTAACACAAGGTCTTATAGTAGATGCAAGAGGACAAGCGGGGGTCTAGCTTTGTTATGGAGGTGGGACTATTTGGTAAGTGTTAAATTTTTTTCAGACTTTCATATTGAAGCAATCATAAATGAGGGAAATGAGGGCCAGTGAAGATTCATTGGATTTTATGGCCATCCAAACGTTAGCTAACACAAACATTCATGGGATTTGTTGTCTAAATTGCATAATAGATTTGATATGCCTTGGATTTGTGGAGGAGATTTTAGTGAAATTTTGGATGCAATTGAAAAAGAGGGGGGTCAAGATTGAGCATTTTGGCAAATTAGGGATTATAGATGAGTTATGAATGACTGTGGTTTATTGGATTTGGGTTTTCAGGGAAGTCCTTATACTTGTATAGAGTTTGGGCTTCATCATCTTGGTTCAATAGTCACATGGGTAGCTTTGTTACTCATATTGCTACCACTGATTCTGATCCTTGTCAACTACTGTTGAGAGTCAGGGATTCTTCTAATGGTTCACAGTCGTGGAGGTCAAATAGAAGGTTTTGATTTGAGCCCATGTGGTTGATAGATAGTTCTTGTCTAGAAGTCATTGACAACTGTTGGAATATTGCTCCTGGTTCATCTGAGAGAAGTATGTTTTTGGATAGATTATAGTCTAGTAGATTGGGGCTGTTGCAATGGAATAATGGAAAATTTGACAATATCCAGAGAAGGTGGTCAGATAACAATCACCGTGTTCAGGTTTTACAGGCAGGATTATTAACAGAGGATATTAGAGATGAATTGGGAGAACTTCATAGTACAAGACAAATGCTTTTGGAAGCTGAAGAAATTAAATGGAAACAAAGATCAAAAGAATTGTGGCTGAAGGAAGGTGATAGAAACACAAAATATTTTCATATTTGTGCAAGTTTAAGAAGGCAGAAAAATGAAATCAAAGGCTTACGGTACCAGAATGGGAATTGGTGCACAAATAGAGAGTAATTGGAGGAAATTTTTGTGTAATATTTTCAGAATTTATTTACATGTTCTTTACCAAGTGAGGCAGATCTGTTAGAAGTATTACAAGCTGTTCCCCAACGGATTTCTCATTCCATGAATCAATCCCTCATTCGAACTTTCTGTAGGGAGAAGGTGGAGACAGTTGTCAAACAATTTCACCCATCTAAAGCACTGGGTCCAGATGGTATGGGTCCAATCTTTTATCAACATTTCTGGGATCTAATTGGCAATCAAGTAATTGAGTTGGTGTTGAATTTTTTAATCATGATATTTTCTGTCAGAAGATCAACTATACTCATTGTTTTGATCCCTAAAATTATGGAGCCAAAGGGGATGTCTCAGTTTCGTCCTATAAGTCTGTGTAATGTTGTGTGCAAAATAATATCAAAGGTTCTTGCTAATTGGTTAAGGTGTCTTCTTCCAGATATTATATTTGAATTTCAAAGTGCATTTTTTCTGAGAAGGTTGATAACGAATAATGTTTTGGTTGCCTTTGAATTGAATCATCATATGAAGAGGAAGAGAGCTGGTCGCAATGGATTTATGTCTCTAAAATTGGATATGAGCAAGACTTATGATCGTGTAGAGTGGACCTTCTTAGAAGCTATTATGCATAGGATGGGATTTGACACAAGGTGGATTAAGCTGATCATGACCTATGTTACTACAGTTTCATATTCGGTAATGCTTAATGGAGAGTAGTTGGGATTTTTTCATCCACAAAGAGGTCTATGTCAAGGTGATCCTTTATCAGCTTATCTTTTCTTGTTATGCTCTAAAGGTCTTTCTGCTTTACTTCAAAAAGAAGTATAATTAGGAGGGATCCATGGTCTTGAAGCTGGTCATGGTGCTCCAATTTCTACTCATCTATTATTCGCTGATGATAGCTTATTTTATACGAGAGCCAACAGATCAAATGCCCAGCGGATTAGCAAATGTTTGAAATCTTATGAAAGGGCATCTAGACAAACAATTAATTTTTCGAAATCAGAAGTGGTATTTTTTGATAATAGTTGTCTAGCAGACATAATCTCTATTTTGCAGGAATTGCCATTGAAAGTGGTTGTTAGTTATGAATATTTGGGTCTTCCATCAGTAATGGGCAGAACAAAGAAACAAATGTTTGAAGGAATTAAACAGAGAATCTAGAATAAAGTTCAAGGATGGAAAGGGAAGCTTCTATCCCAAGCTAGTAAGGAAGAGTTAATAAAGGCGGTCGCTCAAGTGATACCTACATATGCTAGGTCTTGCTTTAAGCTTCTGTCAGGGTTTTGTTCAGAAATAAATCAATAGATGGCTAGCTTTTGGTGGGGTAATACTTCGGAAGTTAAGAAGATTCATTGGTTTTCTTGGCAGACTTAATGTCTTCCAAAATCAAGAGGGGTATGGGTTTTCGAGATGTGGAAGCTTTCAATATGTCCTTATTAGCTAAACAATACTGGAGGCTACTTCAAAATTCTGAATCATTACTTTTTAAAGTTCTGAAAGCAAAATATTTTCCAAATTCATCATTAGGAGATGCCACTTTGGGGTCCAATCCATCTTATTCTTGGAGGAGCATATTGTCGTCTAGACATTTGGTGGAAGCTAGATTAAGATGGAGAGTTGGAAATGGTAGAAGTATAGTGTGAAGTTTGATAGGTGGATTCCTCGACCAAATACCTTTAGAATTATCACTCAACTGCCAAACCTATGTGATAATATTAATGTGAGCTATTTTATAGATAATGATTCGAGAAGTTGGAATGTACAATTGCTTAAACAATGGTTCTTAGATTTTGAGGTCCAAGATATCTTATCCATACCGATTTGTCCATCGTTGCCAGAGGATAGATCACTATGGCATTTTTCTAAGTTTGGGAATTTTTCGGTTCGCAGTGCCTATCATTTAGCCATTGAGAGGAATCTATTTAAACATCAAACTCAAGCTAATGCTGCATCTTCTAGTAATGTAATGGATCGTTGGCCTGGTTTGTTCATTTGGTCGCTTCATGTGCCTAACAAGGTCAAAAACTTTCTATGGCATTTATTCATTGATATCTTACCTACTCTATGCAATTTATAGAGAAGACGAATGATGGTAAACAATGGATGCTTCTTTTGTGGGTATCCTTGTTAATCTTCCCTCCATTTGTTTGTTACTTGCCCTTTTGCGAAGGCGATATGGGAGGCTGTTGTAATTCATTTCCAGCAGAGATGGTATTGAATATTCAAGGTTGGCTTGTTTATATTTCTGAGAAGGTAACTTCTAAAGAGGTAGAATTGATTGTTGTTATTACATAGGCTATGTGGTTCAATCAAAACAAGTTTCGAGTTGAACATTGCTCCAGATCACCGACGAAAATTGTCTAGTTCTCAAAGGAATATATCCATCATTTCCATGTTGTTAATTGTTCGAGGTTGAGCTCTTAGGTATCAAATGTGACTGAGAAAAGGATCATATGGACACCCCCACAAGCTGGTGTTTGCAAAGTGAACTTTGATGGGGTTGATGGGGACACCCCCACCGACGAAGTTTGTGTTGTTATTAGAGATTGCTTTGGGAATTTCTTGGCAGGTTTAAGCCAGAAAAATGGAGGTGTTTTAAGTGTAGATTGTGTGGAGGCTTTGGCTACTTCAACAGCTGTGCAATTGGAGTGGATCATGGGTTTACTAGCTTTATTCTCGAGGGTGATTCCAAGTCTTTCAATGAAGCTTTATCACAAGAGCAAGAGGACTTGTCTGAAGTTGGTAATTTTCTAGATCAAATTAATGTACTGAAGACAAACTTTCAGACTTCTCACCGGTATGGGGAAGCAGGAAAGGAACTGTAGTTGCACATAGTTTAGCCAAATTTGCTATTAACTGTAATAATTCTGCATTGTGGAGAAAGGAGATTCCGTCATTTCTGTTATCTCATCTCCACAATGATGTATCATGTGTTGCCTAGTAAATAAATGAAATTCGATGTCTCTAAAAAAAAACATATATATATAATGAGACTATTGAAAAGAAGTGATGAAAAAATTATTCTTGAGTAATTGTCATATAACCCTCCAAAACAATAGGCTTTAAACTCACAAGTTCATATATCTGTCTCCTCTATATATATTAAGATTTGAAAGAGAAAAACTCATTTCAACAAATTACACAAACTAGATGATCATAGTACATAAGATTTGAGTTTTTAATGACGATATAAACATAATACTCAAGCATAAAATAACTTAAATCTAGTAGTTCATATGCAATAAACTCAAATTACTATCGACATATCAAAGTTCTCAAAGAATTTAACTCAAGGTCATACTCTCAAAATAGGTAAAGCATAATTTTTTTTCATTTTTCTCTTTTTAGGGAGCAAACGAACAATCAAACAACACAAAATAAAAATAAGCATAGAAACAGAGGTATAAACCCTCACCCTCCAACTTGAATGATGCATTGTCCTCAATGCAAAAGAAATAACTTTATGAAAGTGTCTAATGAAATAGGTAAGGGAAAGAGGTCATTTGAATGAATTGCTCCAAAAGGAAATCAAACTGCAAAACTAAAAAAAAAAAGTAAAACAAGCAACAAATACTAATGTACAACAAATCATGGAGGAAAAAGATCTCTTAACAAGAAGATCTTGATAAACCAGATCAACGGGTTCCTCCACAGGCCCTTCTAATGGAAAACCCTTTAAGAATGACTTCACATGCAGACCATTAGCCTTAAATGTTTGTCCA